CATCAATCATCTGATGGGCCGGGCTCGTCTGTGGGGCACCAGTGAGTGGGAGAGACAGTCCCCAGCCTGCGTCTCCTTCCAGGCCTTAGCAGAAGAGCTATGTAAGGTCTTCGGTCCGGGGGTCTCCAACTCCGAGGCCGCTCAAGGACTACTAACCCTGAAACAAGGGAGCAGGATGGTTGCTGACTATTCCATCGACAGAGCCAGTCGGAGCCGATGGAACCTTGCAGCCCAGGTGGACGCCTTTATCCATGGCCTGGCAGACTACCTCAAGGATGAGCTGGTCTCGTACGAGGTTCCCCCCACACTTGACGGAATGATCAAGCTAGCCATAAGGATTGACCATAGACTGTATAAAAAGATGGACGAAGCTACCGTGACGTCACCCATTGGTTTCAGCATACCATAAAGGAAGCCCCGATTTTGGCAATTTCAATTGCGCCATTTTGTCATTTTGAAACCGGATGTGATTTCTATTGGACGAGAGCATGAATTGAAGATCTGGGGAGGAACGTGGCTCTGGACCGTATCGGACGAGGACCAGAGGATAGCCACGCCCCAAAAGCATATTCTGGCTTTATCCTTTATTCTAGTCTATATGGGACCATAATTCACAAAAATGAACATCATGATATATCAAAGGAGACTTGAAACTTCCTATAGCTACCATAATATAATGTGAAAAATCATTATTTAAATGAAAAATCAGGTGGGAAAGTAGGGTCATTTTCTCATAGACTTCTATAGCACTGAACTTCTTTCTGCAACCACCGACGTCGCCATCTGCTGGCCATTAAATATAATGCCATTCTACGGTGCTTCCGCATGGGCCTCTTTTTTCAGATTAGGGTGCTGCATCCATCTTTTTATACAGTCTCTGGGATTGACCACCGCGTCCAGGCCCAAAGGCGGGCGAGAAGTCAGGGGGCCTCTCATGGCCAGACGCCAGCCCAATCCAGAGCGGGTTCCACTCAATCGTCCACTTCGCCTATTCCACAGATGGAGGATTCTGAACCTGTGCAGCTGGGCCGCACCCCTCTCACCCCAGAAGAACAGGAGCATGGACGACGCCTGAACCTGTGCCTGTACTGTGGGAATTGGTCACTTCGTTTCAGTCTGCCTGGTAAAAGTCAAGGCTCACCCGTAGCCAGGGAGGTACGGGTGAGCTCGACAATACTACCTCCCTACTACCACAGACTGCATCTCAAAGCCCGGCTCCTCCTTCCTGATGGTCCCCTCACCTTGGCTGCCCTGGTGGACTCTGGTGCCAATGCTATCATGATGAGTGAGGAGTTGGCCCAACAGTTGGGGCTCGGTCGGCTTCCTCTGCCTCGTTCGGTTCTCGCCCAGGATCTAGATGACCACCGCCTGGGTACCGTTACCCACCAGACCATCCCGGTTCCCATGCTCCTGTCTGGCAATCATCACGAGACCATCCAGTTCCACATCCTGAACTCTCCTGGCCTGCCACTCATCCTGGGCTATCCTTGGCTTCGGCGACATAACCCCCGTATTGTTCGCGAGTGGGGAACATCCTGCCACCTCACCTGCCTCAAGCATGCCTCTTTGCCGTTCCACTGTCCCACCACCAGTCCTTCACCTGATGTCTCGGGGCTGCCTTCCAAATACCACAACTTCCGACAGGTTTTCAGCAAGGCCAAGGCCACCTCTCTGCCCCCACATCAGCCCTATGACTGTCCCATAGACCTCCTGCTCGGCATCTCTCGGCATCGCCTAGAGGCCGCCTGTACTCTCTGTCTGCCCTTGAAAGGAAGGCCATGCAGACTTACATTAACGATTGGAAGGCCATGCAGACTTACATCAACGATTCCCTAGCTGCAGGCATTATCCGCCCCTCCTCATCTCCTGCTGCGGCGGGCTTCTTCTTTGTGGAAAAGAAGGATAAGACCTTGAGACCCTGCATCGACTATCGGGGCATGAACGAGATCACAGTCAAGAGCCGCTATCCACTGCCACTCATCTCTTCCGCCTTTGAACTGCTTCAAGGGGCCACCATCTGCATCAAGCTCGATCTCCGTAATGCCCATCATCTGGTCCGCATCAGAGATGGGGACTAATGGAAGACGGCATTCAACACCCCTGCAGGGTACTATGAGTACCGGGTCATATCTTTTGGTCTCACCTACGCTCCTGCCGTCTTCCAAGCCCTGGTGAACGATGTGCTCCGAGACATGCTCAACCGCTTTGTCTTCGTTTACTTGGACGATTCTTTATCTTCTCAAAGACCAGAGAAGAGCACGTTCATCATGTCCAGTCTGTGCTCCAGCGCCTCCTGGAGAACGCCCTGTTTGTAATGGCAGAGAAATGCGAATTCCTCTGTATCGTTCCTGGGGTACATCGTGACCACGGGAAGCATCGGATGGACCCGGCAAAGGTTTCTGCAGTCACTTCTTAGCCTTCCTGACTCCTGCAAACAACTGCAATGGTTCCTGGGGTTTGTGAATTTCTATCGCCGGTTCACTTGCAAATACAGTTCAGTAGCCGCCCCTCTTACTGCTGTCACCAGCTCCAAGTTGTCCTTCCAGTAGTCCCCTGCTGCCGACGACCTTCCAGACCCTGAAAACCAGATTCACCTCTGTGTCCATCCTCCAGATGCCAGACCCAGATCGCCAGTTTATAGTGGAGGTGGATGCCTCAGACGTGGGGGTAGAAGCTGTCCTGTCCCAAAGATCTGTCTCTGACCAGAAGTTTCACCTCTGCGCCGCCTTCTCTCGGCGCTTGTTTTCTGCTGAGAGGAATTATGACATCAGGAACAGGAAGCTGTTGGCGGTGAAGCTGGCCCTAGAGGAATGGAGACATTGGTTGGAGGTTGCCAGGGAACCCTTCTTAGTATGGACTGATCACAAGAACCTTGAGTACATCCACACTGCCAAGAGGCTGAACTCCCGCCAAGCCCACTGGTCCCTCTTCTTCACCTGTTTTAACTTCACTCTCTCTTACCGCCCGGGGTCCCGCAACGCCAAGCCCGATGCCCTGTCCCGGCAGTTCCTGAAGGGGGAAGATTCCTCTGAGAGGCCTGCTTCCATCCTTCCCTCCCCTTGTGTTGTAGCCGTCCTGTCCTGGGACATTGAGGAGAGAGTGAGGGCCGCCACTGAGGGTCAACCTGGTCCCAGTGCCTGTCTCCCCAACTGTCTGTACGTCCCTGAAGCCCTGAGGTCAGAAGTTCTGCAGTGGGCCCACGCCTCCAAGCTCAACTGCCATCCCGGTTCCAAGTGAAACCAAGACGTCTTCCTCCAACGCTTCTGGTGGTCCACTCTGGAGGAAGACAACCGCAACTTCGTCAAGGCGTGCCCCATCTGCAACCAGCACAAGGCTTCCCATCAGGCTCATGCTGGACTCCTCCAACCGATTCCTGTCCCACATCAACCTTGGTCCCACATGTCCTTGGACTTTGTCACAGGCCTTCCACCCTCAGACAGTAACACAATCATCCTCATGGTGGTTGACCGCTTTAGTAAGATGGCTCACTTCATCCCTCTGCCCAAGCTGCCGTCAGCTAAGGAGACTGCGCAACTGGTCCTGCTACACGTTTTCCACCTGCATAGCCTCCCCGTGGATGTGGTGTCTGACAGGGGTCCTCAGTTCTCAGGCTTTTGGAAGGAGCTCTGTAGCCTGATGGGAGCCATTGCCAGTCTCTCCACAGGATTCTACCCCCAGTCCAATGGGTAGATGGAGCATATGAACCAGGAGATGGAGACTGCCCTCCGCTGCATGGTGTCCCAGAATCCATACTCCTGGTCCAAGCAACTCCTGTGGGTGGAGTACGCCCACAATCCCTCACCAGCTCTGCCATGGGCCTCTCTCCATTCCAGTGCATCTTTGGCTATCAGCCTCCGCTTTTTCCGACCTTAGAGAGAGAGGTCTCCTGCCTGTCATCCCTAGCCCTCATCCGCCGCTGTCGCCGAACCTGCCCTCCAGCATGCTGTTAGGCACTACACTGCCTCGGCCAACCGGCGGCGTTCTCCTGCCCCAGTTTACCAGGTTAGTCAGAAGGTTTGGCTCTCCACCTGAGATCTGCCTCTCCAGGTGGAGTCTAAGAAGCTGGCACCCAAGTTTGTTAGTCCATTCCCCCTCCAGAGGGTCATCAGTCTGACGGCGGTGAGACTCAAGCTTCCTCGCTCCATGCGTGTCCACCCCACCTTCCATGTGTCCAGAGAATCCTCTGTCGCCGGCTGTTCCACCTTCTCCTCCTCCTCATCTGATCGACGGTGGTCCAGCTTGCTCAATGCGGTGCCTGGTCCGTTCCCGTCGTCATGGGAGGGGACTCCAGTATTTAGTGGACTCGGAGAGCTATGGTCCTGAGGAGAGGTCTTGGGTTCCAGCTCGCCACATCCTCGACCCGGACCTCATCACCGGCTTCCACCTGACCAGCCCACCGGCATCACCGTGCCGTCAGGGAATCCCCGCTCGCTGGCCGGCACCTCTTCCTGGCCTGATCTCCCTGTGGGGGATTCTCCTGCTGGGGAACCATCGGTCGACGGGGTCTCCGACCACTCGAGCTCCTCTGAAAAGTCTAGCGAAGAACAATCAGTCGACATGGACTCCGACTACTCAGGCCCTCCTGACGATCTGGCTGAGGAGATGGATTTTTACGGCTCTGAAGAATATTAGGCCCTGCCTCCGGCCCCCTTTGCCCACCCGGCATTAGTGGTCCTTCCCTGTGGGACCTCGGGAGCCGTCCCTTGAAGGGGGGGGTTCTGTCACAGTCTGCTGCTGCTGCCTCTTACTCTGCCTGGCCACACCCCTTGCACTGCAATTGTTCTCAGCTGAGTCTCGTTAACCAGCCAGTATATAAACAGCTCTGTTTCACTAACTCATTACCTGATTTTCGTTGCAGCATGCACTACTCTCCCGCGTTTACCTTTGGTCTGACTTCCTGGAATCGACTCTGCCTGCCCCTGACTACGCCCTCTTGTTCCTGCCCAGTAAACCTGATTGTCTTCTGATACAAGCTCGCCTGCCGAGCCTCAAGACAGCCTGCCCCGGTGGCCCAGTGGTTACTCTCCCGCCTGTGGTGTGGGCGACGCAGGTTCGATTCCCGCCATCAGTGTCTGCTCCAATGAGTTACCCGAAGAGCTCCACTCAAGATCCAGATGCTTCAGAACCTGTCCTGTACCCATCTACTCTGCACTGCATTCTGTTTGCCACTGCCTCAAGATCATTAAAAACGAGTAAACCTCCATTGTTTCTGATTGTGTTGCTTTTGGGTCCTGCCACTCCCTGTGTCAGTGACTGTGTCTAATTTTGAAGGCTCTGACAGCTATCTTATTTGACTTATACATCGTAGATATCTTTAAAAACTCACTGTCAGATGAAGTACACTTGTGGTCAAGGAGTTTATGATTTTAGAAATTAATTTTCATAGCTCCCAGCCATTTTTCAATTCTCAGTATTTTTTTATAATTTCATTGCTGAATTTTCCTAAAGATTTTTTGCGTTTGTGGCCCTATCTCCGAACAAAATTAAGAAACTGAAATACGATAGAATTCTTAATGCTACAAGTGTCTTGTCTCATTTAAGCCATTGCCCCACTCGCTGTGAAGCTCAAATCTTGAATTATAAATAAGGTAATGCATAAATGTTCATATTTGGCCTCTGCACAAAGGGGTTAATGCAGCCTGCAGGGCCTGGTGCAACACCAGTATCCTTTAGAAGGATAGAATAGCAAACATAAAAATATCCTGAGACCGTATTCATCATGTGGTTGAGTGTAGCAGAGCTGATCAAGGATTTTAGCTGATAATGGATAAAATTTGGATGATGGAGTCAAGCACAGGCCTGGCACCACCTTAGACTCTGATAGTATTTATTTTCTATGTTGAAAATCAGACTCAAAGAAGCCATGAATTAAGAAGCATATTGTCGCTGTCGGGCAGAAACCTCGTATCTCCATTTTTAGTTATATTTATATTTTTCACAAATTAATGTCATTAGTCACCCTTTGTGTCTGTCCTTTGGTTTTGAAAATGAAAAATGATGAAAGTCCGCACACTAGATTGTAGCTCCAAAAACTTTATTGACTGGAAGAACAGGCAATGTTTCAACCCAACAGGTTCTTCATCAGACAAATCAGACATTACCCGTAGACAGGTATATATAGAGGCAGTAGGCCAATTACATCATTCTGACATCACTGTCAGCCAATTAAGGCTAAGACACAAATACAATCAATAATACATAGTCAAGATTCATCATAGAAAAAAATAACGCAATGTAAATAGACATAACATAGCAGACAACAAGAGGTTTACTTTGGAATATAATATGGATCGCATCAGTTTTTTAGATGTAGTGGTTTATAAATGTGACGGCACAATTCAGACTGATCTTTTTGTAAACCTACAAATCGTAACTGTTTTGCTACGAGGAGACCGTTTTCACCCACGGCCATTAATTAATATAAAAGTTTACCGATCAGTCAGTTTCATCTGGTCCGGAGAATTTGCAGTGATGATGCATCATACTCCATGCAGGCTACAGACCTGCTTAATAGATTCCTCGTTAGAAGGTGCAAAAGCGAGTGAGTACATGAAGCAAAGGAACATTTTGATCGGGTTACTCAGGACGAATGTCTTCTACCATATAAGAACAAAAAAACTCAAACAAATTTTCCTATTTGCTGCATCAAATACTCACCGCTTGCCTCAGAATTCTGGAAGGTTATCCAAATTTTTGGAAGGTTATCCAAAAATATTGTTACATCATCGAGTCCGATTCGAAGCTGAGGAGTGTTTTTATAGAAGCACCAAGGCTTGTTTTTCGACGACCCACTAACTTACAAGACTCTCTGGTTAAGTTGGATACTTACCCGCAAGACAAGACAGCTTTCCCTATTGTACCAGATGGCAATTGCAGGTGTGGCAATTGTGCGTAATGTAATTATACTTATAAGTGTAAGAGATTCAGCCATCTGCATACTGGTCAAAGCATATCAATAAAGGGTACTATTACATGCAACACCATGCATGTTGTATATCTCATCCGTTGCCCTTTTGGTCTGGCCTACGTGGGGAAAACCTCACTTGCGCTTAGCACCAGGATTAGCGAACATAGAAGTAATATTAGAACTGAAGATGAAGGCAATCCTGTGGCCGCTCATTTTAAACAAGTGGGTCATAATGTCAGTGCATTAAGTTACATTGGCATTGAAAAAGTCGAGAAACATCCCAGGGAGGGTGATCTCGAAAAAAGACTCCTCCAACGAGAAACTTACTGGATTTATTTTCTTAATGTCCCCTAAAGGTTTGAATGAGGAATTTGACATAAAACCCTTTCTCTGACTGTCCTTTGCCTTCCTGCCTGGTACTTCCATATGCATATGTCGTTTATATTTTAATACAAAAATCTCTTGTTGTCTGCTATGTTATGTCTATTTACATTGCGTCACTTTTTCTATGATGAATCTTGACTATGTAGTATTGATTGTATTTGTGTCTTAGCCTTAATTGGCTGACAGTGATGTCAGAATGATGTAATTGGCCTACTGCCTCTATATATATCTGTCTATGGGTCATGTTGCCTGATGAAGACCCTGTTGAGTTGAAACGTTACCTGTTCTTCCAGTAAATAAAGTATTGGGAGCTACAATCTAGTGTGCGGACATTCATCATTTTTCGTTTTCATTGATGTATTTTTTGTCCTGCACCTGACCTAAATACAGGTTGGATGTGCACACAATTGCTTTTTTGAGTTTTGTCCTTGGGTTTTACAAATGATTAGTCAATGAAAACTATATAACAGAGCTTGTGACTAAACCTCGTAACTCCATTGGATCATCAAACTGTCGCCAAATCCTCATAACTCCATACCGCCCCCGTTATGAGTGAAGACGCACAGGTGCAGATGACAACCGGAGTAGCAGCAGTCGCAGCAATGTTTTTTTCTCTGACTCTAATCCAACTAACTGAGGCAAACAGGTTTATCCCTCTGCGCATGTGCCGCTTTGAAGATTTTCTTTCATAATCCTGCAGGATGGCCCCAATCAGGTCTGTATCAACTGTATATTACATTTGCATGACCTGAGTTCGGCTGCCTAACAAACAGCTTACTCTTCAGCTGACGATGTCCACCAAGTGGAATTTTAAAGGGCTACGCTTATACTCATAGAATCTGGGGTTAAAATACTTAACCAACTGTTACAGCCCTGCCGGTCTGTTTGTTTGTGTCAAGGGTTGGATGGGTGTGCATTTAAAGATCCCAACTTGATAATTGGTATCCAGTGTTTCTCCAATTAACTCTCATTCTTGGGTGGAATTGTGAAGAGCCAATTGAAGCTCATTGGCCCCACCCTTGCCAAGTATTATTTAATGAACTACCTTCTCTCAATTCAGGAGGAGGGATGGGGGTTGCTTGTTGGCAGCTGGTTGCTGTATTTCTCCCCGTTTTCATGCTTGGGGTTGTTTTCAGTTATTCAATGTGCTTTGTTTAAATTACCTTTTATTTACATTTCTCTGTGTGATCTCCCTTTTTGTTATGGCCTATGACTTGGGTCGTAACACCAACGTTCTATTTCATATACCGGTAAGTTTCGCCCTTTAAGACTGTTGCTATTGGGATAATAGGCGAAGCCGGGTGTAGTCTATGCCCCGCTGTAACACCAGCGCAAAAGCATTCACACACACCTGGCTTACACCACGAATGCAGGAATCAATTAATTCTCAACATGACTGTGCTAGACCCATTTAGCAAAAGAATATGATGAAGTGGTTCCAGCTTGGACACAAACAAAATTCTGTGTTCGAGAGACGGTCAATTAATCAACTGGGCTAACCCACTGCGTTTTAATGAATAGATTAGATCCAAAATCTGTCCATTCACATTATGAACCTGCTGCTGTGATAGAGCGGGACGAAAGTTATGCTTTATAACAAGTCCCAAAGACAGCAGAGCAGGGATGCAAGGGCGCCTGTCCTGATGATGGTAGTTACTTGGCTCACTTGTGGAGGAGTACACAGTGGTAGTACGCAGTTTTTTGGAGACGAATCTCTGGTTGTTTGCGAGGCTAAATAAAGAGCTGGTTTGAATAAGTGTAATGTTTTCTTTACACAAGAAACAGGAAGTCCATAAAGGCTAATGTTTTTTGTTGGCTATTTTTGAGGCCTGAGACGTGAGAAGGGAGAAGCGTTCAGGCAAATAATGGTAAGTTTGAGAGCAGTTTGGTATAACATTTGCCGTCTACCCATAGCCAATACTGTCTCCATTAGCCTGATCATAGCACGTAATCTTTTATAATGAGATTTTGGCCAAATTTAGCCAATGACAGGAAAAACTGAGCGTGCATGTAAGTTCAATAAACTTTATAACCTCTAAGTTGATGACCGTGAAATGCGGTGTGCTACCTGCTTCCGAAGCGACCGTTCTAATAAATGACGCACAAAACACGTATCTCGACATTTGCTGGTCAAAAACCTTTTATCTCCATTTGAGCTTTGGTAAAATATTAATAATATGACTCATACAAGTATTTGGAGGAAGAATGGACACCTGCACACTTACTCAAAGCCACCGAGAAAATTTTTTATTTATGTAATAAGGGCAGCGTTTTCATCCAACTTGGGTCTTCGTCTGGTCATCATGTTTAAAAATGGAAAACACACCCATATTTATACATTGTCTCTACCAATAGGCTGACAAAATTATTTACAATAGGTGTGGTTAACCATCAAAAATGCCCAGAAAGGTCAAGGAGAATAAAATTCAACATACAGTATAAAATAAGTGAATGGGAATACATACAAAAAACAATTGACAATTAACAATCTTAAATACCAGCATATACTTAACATGAAATCCTCAGCCCATAAAGGCAGCGCCGTAGTATAGGGGGGAAAGGTGATGACAATTCTAAGGGCCCATAGTCCATTAGGGCCCACAAAACCCACAGTATCCGCCATGACAAAATTATTCTGCATGGATTTACCTAATATTCATACTAATGCATCAGAGTTTAAACAAAGCCATAAAGGCATGCAATATTGAAGAAAAACATTTCAGTAACCCCCTTCTTAAAAATGGTTCGATCCATGCTTTGTGCTTGTATTGGAAAATTGT